AGAGCGCCCCAAGACGGCCCAAGAGGGCCCCAAGACGGCCCCAGAGTCGCCCAAGACAGCCCAACAGAGCCCCAAGACGGCCCCAAGATGCGCCCATGAGGGGGACCACGACTCCAAAATTCGACCCTCCCGCTTGAAGAGTGCCCCAGGAGGCCCCAAGGAGCCCCCAAGAGGCCCCAGGAGGCCCCCAAGAGGCACCCAGGAGGCCCAAACGAGGCCTAAAGAGGCTACAACACAGCCCCGAGGAGGCCCCACAACGGTCCCAAAACGGCTACCGAGAAGCTGCGAAATTGCCTTCACGACGTCCCCGACAGGCCAACCACGAGATCCAAACCAACACCCATGAGGCCTCTGACCCACCACCCAGGGCACGGTGGCGGGAGCAGTGACAGCAATTGTGCACAGCATGTTCCGGCGGGAGCCTTCCGGAACACGCTTTGTTTGCTTTGATGGGTTTTTGCGTTTTGAATTATTTTTTTGCAGGAAGGAGGAGGTGGAAGAGCAGGAGGAGAGATGAGAGAAAGAAGTGAGAGAGAGAGAGAGAGAGATTGATATTTATTTCGTTGGGTTGTATTGGCTGTCTTCTTTTCCCTTCTTTGTTTGGTTTTTTTTTTTTTTTGGGTATTTTTTTGGCTTTTGTGTGTTACTTTCTTTGAGTATGTTTTTCTTAATGTATGTTTTTTTTTATTTTATTTTTGGTGGACTTTATTGTTTATGTTGTTGTTTTTTATATGGAGTGGAGGGAGGAGGAGGAGGGGGACGAGGAGGAGGAAGAGGCCTCCCAGACAGCTCCAAGATAGCCGAAGAGGCTTCCATGAGGGCCCTGGGCGGCCCACGAGGGCCCCAAGGCGGTGCCTGAGGCGCCCAAGACGGCCCGAGAGGGCCCCAAGACGGCCCCAAGAGAGGCCCAAGAAGGGAAATACGAACCGAGAATCCGAGCTTTCTACCCCGAGAGGTTCTCAGGAAGTCCCAAGAGGCCCCCAATCGGATCCAAGAGGCTCCCAAGAAGCTCCCAAGAGGGCCGACGAGGTTCCAAGAGATCTCCCAAGGTGGCCCCAAGAGGCACAACTCATTGTTTTACGATTGGGCTTTGACGGGTTTTAATTTTTCCTGCCATCCCGATGCTCCAAGACGGCCAAAGAGGCTTCCAAAACCGCTCCCACATAGAGGAAGCAGCATCCAAGAGGGCCCCAAGACGGCCCGCGAGGGCCCCAAGGCGGTGCTTGAGGCGCCCAAGACGGCCCGAGAGGGCCCCAAGAGCCCAAAGAGAGGCCCAAGAAGGGGAACGCGACCCAACAGCAGAGCGGTCCGCCCACAAGGCCCACAGGAGGCTGCAGGAGGCCCCCAAGTGGTCCGACGAGGACCCCAAAAGCTTCCCGAGGGCCTAAACGGCCCTTAGGAGACGTCCAAGAGGCTGTAAAATAGCCCAAGAGTGCCCTCGATGCGTCAAAACTGCTTCCAGGAGGCCCCCGGGAGGCTTCCGGATTGCCTCAATCTGTCCGCAGGTGGCCTCAAGTCGGGCCTCCACGCAGCCAAGGCGGCCAATGACGGCTTCAGATTGCAGAACCGATGCCCCCAAGGGACCCCCAGACGCCCTCCCAAGAAGCACCCAAGAGGTGCCTCCAACAGCCAGTTGACGAAGCATGCGGAACACCCCAGAAGCTCCTCAGATGCCGTCGCGCGCCTGTGCTTGATAGCGTTGTCCAAGATCGTCCAGCGCCCCCCCGGCCTGGGCTAGAACCTGAGCGCGCGCGAAGCGCGCGCGATGGTTTTAGTATATATATATATATATACACATAATTGTACAGATCTACACATAACTATACATATATATATATACATATATACATATATGTATATATATATACACTGTAGATGTTCTGGCGGAATTTCTCGGCTCGGCGCTGGGCCCAAAACCCCGCACCCTCCGGGCGGCACCGTTGCGCCGCGCCCTTTGGCGCGCTCCGAGCGCTGGGGAAGGGTAGTAGGCGTCGGAGCCCGCTTACGACCCGCTGAGCTTGCCCCGGCCCTGCAGCTGTCTTAACCGCACATCGTGAATGCGGCTGCTTGGCAACGATGCGTGACCAGCCAGTTTCGCGCTTCTTTGGCCCGTGGACGTTGAGGAGGGGCCAGCGCCGACCGCAGAAATCTGGCGGCGCCTACAAGTGGCTGACGCGAGGGGGCTGGGCCTCTGAGAAGACGGCGGGGCATCTGCGAAGGCGGGGGGGGGGCTTCTCAGAAGCCCGCCCAGCTTCCAAAACGCCCTCTCAGCAGCCTCCAGCGGCCCGCCCTTTGCCTTCTCAGAACGCCCCGCTGCCGTCTGAGAAGCCTGCCTTGCCTGCAAGAAGCCTCCAGGGACTTGCCCCCCAGCCTCCTAAGAGGCAGTCTACAATCGACCCGCATTGTCAGGATGAGCGACTTTCCAAAGTTGCCCTTGCATCCTTCCCCTTCAGCCCGTCGTTGGCCGCCGTCTCTGGCCGCGCGCCGCCCGCGCAAAGTTTCGTCATGGCCTTCCACGGCCCTCGCATCCTTTATGGTGCGTCCTTATCATACGGGTTGAATGTAAGAACGCCCTCTAAGAACGCCCTATGCCTTCAGGGACGCCCAGAACTCGAGCACGCCGAAATCTCTAAGAACCTAAGACTTGGGTGCGCAGGAACTTGGGTTTGCCGACACTTCCCCCAAACCCGAGACTGACGTCTCTCCGATATTGGGAAGGCCTTACGGCCAGTGCCGCCGACCCTGAAGGGGGACGACGGTGGCGGCGGCGGCGACGACGACGCGAACGCACTTCCCCCCCGCCGAGATCCTTCCCTGTGGGCACCACCACGATATGCGAGCGCACGTCCATATGCCTTCGTTAGTGTGTACTTCTGTTGTGTTTCAGAATTGAAAGTAGGACGTACACGTACATGAATCCACGTTAGTTTCGAGAGTAGATATTGCGCGACCATTTGTACCACGCGGCTGGTCTCGCGGACTCGGGGGCCGTTTTCATGTACGTCGGTGGGCGCGTATGTCTTTCTGTGGGCTCCCTAGCATTGGGAAGGTCTTGCGGCCGGTGCCGCCGACCCTGAAGGGGGACGGCGGCGGCGGCGACGACGCTGACGCTGATGCTCTTCCCCTCTCGCCGAGACCCCCTTGTGGGCGCCGCCCAAATACGCGAGCGGACGTCTAATTATGTGTTTTCGACGGTGTGTTTGTTGTACTCCCATACAGTGGAAACCTATGCCAAGAAGCACCCTGCTCGCCTCCAGGGTGCCCAGGGTTTCTTGGGTTTCGAGGATTGTGGTGTGGAAAGCGTGACGTTCCCACACCAACAATCAATGGACGTCCTGGGGTCTCAATGTTGGGTTTCTTGTGGAAGGCTTCTTGTGGCCGAGCTCCTACCTTATTCCCATAAAGTTCGGCGGTTCGCTCCCCGGGCGGACCTCGGGCGTCTCCGGGCCGCCTCTGGTCGTCTTCCGTGTCGAGGGGTTGGTTTTTTCCGGGCTTCGGGCCCCTCGACAGACGATCTTCATGGGCGCCCAAGTGGGGGTTGGGGACTAGGGAGTCACCCTCCTTTCTTTGGGGGCGGCCAAGAGGGGGGGGGATGACTGGGGGGGATATGATATCATGGCGGGGGCCATGATTTCTCCCCTGATTTCATTGCGCCTCTTCTCATTTCAATACGTCCTCGGCCCCCCCTTGGGCCGCGCACATGCCGCCGGCCATGATTTGCGCCGCCCCTCGTGGACACCCCCCTCTTGGCTGCCCCCTCTTTCGGGAAGACGAGGATCCCGTGAGGAGGGGGGCATGCAGGATCGAGGAGGTGCTGGGCGAGCGCTGGGGGTCCTTGGACAGCCCCGTTTCCTCGGGGATGCGGCTTGGCGCTGCCCGGGAGGGGTGGGGAGGACGAGGGGCGTGCGGATTGCCTTGCAAGGGCCGCGAAATTTCCACGAGCTCATGGCCTGCTCTGCTGCCTCCTCCTCCTCCTCCTCCTCCTCCTCCTCCTCCTCCTCCTCCTCCTCCTCGTCCTCCTCCTCTCGTCCTCGTCCTCCTCCTCTTCCTCTATGTCTTTTCCGAATGAAGAACTCCTACCCTTTATGAGCCTGCAGCGTAACAGCTGCCAACAGTTTCACAGTTGGAGGGTGCCTCGCTGCCTAAATGTGGCTTTCGCCTGAGTACCGCGTACACTCGTGTCAAAACATTGCAAGGTTCTTTTTCAAATGTGGGTCTCGCCTTAGCGCCGCGCACATTCGTTTAAACAATTACGAGAGTTTAGGGCGATTCGTTTTCAACATGTTGTTGTCGCCTTGGCGTCGCGCACATGTGTCTTAAGCATGTGCACGAGGTTCGTGGATTGACGTCGGTTCGTTTTCGATGTGTGGTTAACTCGCTGTGGCGCCCCGCATTCGTTTTTCAATGTTGCAAGAGTTTTGCGGATTGAGGGCGGTTCCTTTTCGAAGTGTGGTTCTTGCTTTAGCGCCACGAACATGTGTTTCAGAAAGTTGCAGGAGTTTGATGTATGCTCATGCTTGACGTACCAGACATGACTTTTTGAAGAGATTCTGTATTTTCGGGGCGCAACCGTTTCGACGATTCGCGGTGTTGAAGTCTCAAGATTGGCGTTCTGTCGCGAATCACGATCGTCAAGAGGCAATAGTCAGGCTGACTCGTTTCGTTAAAGTCCGGACAATATTGTTTTGGCACGCTACAGGATTTTCACGCGGTTGTCCACCAACGGGGCACTTCCCTCAGTGGGAACGAACCTTGTAGGGGCCTATGATGAGGGAGTTTGGAGGAAGTGTGTGTTCCAACATCGTTGATGAGTCTTGGTTTTGCACTGAACCTCCTCCTGCTGCTCCTCCTCCCCTCCCTGAGGAGGAGCCCCTCCTCCCCCTGCTACCCCTCCCACTCCCCCTCGTTCTCCAAGATTTCATGGCCCCCTCTGGCTTCCTTCAGGACGTTCCCTGACCCCTCCTGGTCCGTGCACATGCCTTCCCCGACGCTCCCAGCAGGGTGGGCGACCTCGAGGTGCTCGCCGAGATCATCATGCTCGACGGGCTCCAGCAGTTGCGGCTAGCGGAGTGGTGCCTGAGCGCGCCCGGGCACGAAGAGGCCTGCCATTCTCTCCCTCCTCGGCTTCCGCCGAGTCGAGAAGTCCAATCCCCGAACTCAGAAAAGTCTGTTATGCTGCGGCGCCGTGAGCTCTGACGGTAAGTTGACGCCACCGTTGAGCCAAGAGAGTCTCGGACGCCAGGGGGGGTTCTCAGCAAGAGTGGAAGGGAACAGCTTCGCAGGAGAACGCTCGGGTAGTTCCCTCATCAGTACCTTGCTGTAGCGGCAGTCTAACACCGCAGACCATAGGAACATGGCATACCAGCACGGCAGACCACATCTGCACGGCAGACGATGACGGCATACCACAGCAGCGCGGCATACCAGAGCATGGCAGAAATTATGAGCACGACAGATCACAGGAGCACGGCAGACCAACACGATAAATCGCCAGCAGTTATGTTGGTCGAGGTGTTTCGTTTTGTAGTTTTTTTTTTTTTGCCCCGTTCTTGCCCCGTCAGGTTTTTCAAGGCGGGATCCCCGAAAGTCCAGATGTTGTTCCCCAGGATGCTTTTCATCGGGGCTTTTTTGTGGACTGCCGCGGGGCCCTGCGAGCGCCCCCAGAAGCCGAGAACGACAACAACAAGTCGCCTTGTTTGCCTCAATGCGTTGGATTGCTGCGCATCGCGCGTCGCAGTGTTCGAAGCTCGGTGGCCTGACAAAACGGCTCGGGAAGGCCCCCGGCGCGCAGCGGTTGCGGCCGGGGCCCGCCGCGCGCGCGCAGTTCGGCCTCCTCTTCTCGCTCGTGTTCCGCGCGCCGCGACGGGCCAGCCGCGATCCGCGTTGAACCCGTGTCGAGGCCACGTCGAAGCCGCGTCGCGTCCGCGTCGCATCACTCCGATTGCATGGCGGATCCGCGCCGGCCATGTCCGGATGTCAGAGAAGACAGCTGTTCGCAAGACGGGCGAGGTCCCCCGAGTGTGCACCGCAGTTTTCTTGCCAGCGCGCGCGAAGGCCGCCCGCCACGCGCTCTTCTTGGCCGAGTTTGCCGCGACCGAGCGGGGCATGCCGGGCTGCCGCCTCGAAGATCAGGCCCCTCCGGGGGGGGGGGACAGAATAGGGGGACGAACAATGACATGAGCATGAAAACTCGAAGTCCGCGCGGATTTCTCGGATCGGCGCTGGAGCCCCTTGGCGACGCCGCCGGCGCCGCCCCTGGCGCGCTCCGCGCGCCAGGGAGGGTGGTCCAACGCTGGTCCGAGAAAACAGCGCGGACCTCCGAGTTTTTATGTTTACGGCATTGGTTGTTTCCCTAGGACAGGCACGCCAGGGGGAGAGGCTTGCGGTTCGAGGTGTTCAGCAGTTTTCGTCGGCTCTCGGCGGTCTCCAGCGTCGGAGCGGTCTCCAGCAGCTGCGCCTCACCGAGGGTGTCCCCAGGCGGCGAGCCCACGGCGGGAAGTGCGTGGCAGCAAGCCTTCTCCGAAGCCGCCGACGTTTTTTTTCTACAAGGCGCGGGGGCTGCTGAGAAGCCCCCGCGCCTTCTGGGAAGGCATGCCCCTCCCCTCCAGCTCCCCCCCCCCCCCGGGGGCGCCCCGCCTCGGTCCAGGGGTGCCTGGATCGGCCCGAGCGGCCGCTTGGAGGCGCAGGTTCTGCCCTGAAGTGACTGTTTCAGGGGCAACGTCAAGAGGCCTGGCATCGCTCGGACGTGTGCGTTTTTTCCTCGGGCCATCGAGGAGCATCCTTGATCATTTCGCACAAAAAAAAAACACGCACGAGACCGAAAAAAAACACAGGAAATGTACGTCCGAGCGATGGCCAGAGGACTGTTTCAGGGGCAACGTCAAGGGGGGGACAGGAAGGCGCATCGACCCCTCGTCGCCGACTCCTCGGCGGCAGGGGCCCGCTATAGCCCACCCTTTGCCCAGGAGCGTGCAGTGTCGCGCTCGCTGGCCCATCGGCGAGGCGTCGCCGACTCCAGGGCGACGCCTCCCTCACCGAGCCCGTCCCCCCCGGTCGCTGCCCCTCAGGAGGGGCGGAGAGAGTCTAGGCCTCCTAGATGGGGTCCGAGTAGGTGGGGGATGGCGCCGCATCGGCGATGCATCGGGGATGCGGCTCGATGTGGGGCCCGAGTTGCTTCGCGTCGACGTTGCCGATGCATCGCCGACGTCGACGATGCATCGCATGTGCATCACCGCTGCATCGCCGATGCATCACCGATGCATCGCCGATGTATCGGCGATGCGGCGCGATCCTCCGACCCCATCTACGCGGACCCCATCTAGGAGGCCTCTAGGGAGCGAGGGGGCCCAGACGTCCGGCGGCTTGGTCAAATATAGGCGGCGCCGTGTTTGTTCCACCATGTTGGGCCGTCGGAGGCCAGGCTATCACCTGTCCAGGGAGAAGACCAATGGCCCTCTGTGCGGCGAAAGCTCGGCAAAGGTAAGACGCGTCTGTCCCGGGGTACCTCGTGGAGGTGAACAAGTGCTTGCTTGAGGTGATCCAGGAGCGGCTCGCACATGTCGGGCCCGATTGTGGGGCGAGCCTGGGCTCGATCGGTTTGCTTGCCTGCTTGAGGATGCGCGTCGAGGTGCGAATTCGGATCCATAGCTCGCAGAGCGAGAACCAGAAGAGTAGTCGCGATTCAAAGCTACTCGAACTCCTTTGCGGGGTGAAGAGCAGGCCCCGTGGAAGCGATCGAGAGGCCTGGGGGGGGGCCCACGCTTCGAACAAACACGAATCGAGTCGCCAGGCACCCGGGGGGCCCGGGGCGAGGGGGGCTGGGCGCGGGAGGGGGGGGGGGGAGAGGGTGGGGAGGGACGGAGGACGGGGAGGGAGGGTCTGGCGGGGCGGGGGGAGGGGGGCCGGCGAGGAGCGAGAGAGGGCGAGGGGGGGGGCAGGAATGAGTGTGCGAGGGGGGGGAGGGGATAGAGGGGGTGGGGAGGAGGAGAGGAGCGAGCTGGGCGCGCTGGCGCCATATCTGACACCCCACCCCTCTCACACATACCATCCCATACCTTCCTATCTCTTCTTTATCCATGGGCGCGTGTCACAGTGCAGCTGGTATGGAAGCCTCCTTAATACAAACATAGTGTTATGCGCAATCGGAATGGGGAGTCTGCGTACGTTTGAGGAGGATGTGGCAGATGAGCAGAAGGATGAGCAGGATGAAAAGGAAGACGATGGGGAAGGAAGAGGATGAGGACGAACAGGAGCAACAGAAACCGGCACAGAAGGAGCGGGAGGAGCAGGAGGACCAGGGTTAGGCGGAGGGGAAAGGAGGGGGGGGGACAATGATGAGGAGGGACTCGGATCCAGAAAAGTGGCT